AATAATTCTTGAGATACCAAACAACTTTTAAAACTAAATGGTTGAAGGTGATTTTGGGCACCCTTCCTCCCCTCCCCAACTCTATATGCAGAGCATAGTTACTGATACTGGCAGACATCTGTGCTCTTCAACCTTACCTGGGGAATATACTCACAGGAATGTGTGCTGGATTATTTACGGGCCAGCTGCTTCTCATGTGTCTGAACAGCACAGCCAATATAGCAACTGGGTTAGTTACACAGTGAGTGTAGATGTATATTTGCTGTGTACATGGGTTGTGAGACACATACAATGATTGGAAACATTTGCATGCATAAACAGACCATAAAGGTAGCTTAACACAGCGGTCCCCAACCTTTTTCAGTCTGTGGACTGGCTGGGAAAGGCAGGGCACCCCTCGCACCTGCGCGCATAAATGAACAAGCCTGTACGCTCGCACCACGCCACGCTTCAGTGCATGCGCAAATGGCGGCATGGTGCTCACACGGGCGCGGGTGTGGGCGCACTGATGTGCATGCTCAAACGGCAGCACAGCACTTGTCTGGATGCGCACGCACTCATAGGCATGCACAAACGGTGCGGGAGTGAGTGCGTGCGGGGGCCCCCCAGGAGGTCTGTCTCAGGGTTGGAGACCTCTGGCCTAACAAACTCACATGCATTCCCTGTAGGTGTCCAGAGTGTGTGACGATCAGATCATAGGGATCAGGTCAGTCATGTGGATTAAACTGGACTTCATGCAGGAGTAGTAGGATCAATTAATGGCTATACATTGGCAGATGCAGGAGGTGAGAAAATGGGGTCCAGCCTAACAGTGCCAACAATGGGGCACTCCATGCAGGGCTCCTGAAGAGAAGTGGGGGGGAATGCCAAGCTTCAGGCTGGAAGGCTTCTTGTTAAAGATTTTCCCTTTGTGGAATGGGGGTGGAGCCTGGAGAGAGCCCACAACCCCCCAAAAAAACCACATTTTGCTGCTTGAAGTAAAGCAGTCAACGACACCCACTGCTGCCAGGCCAGGTGCACAATGTCCCTCTATATCTGTGGCAGTGAAAAAATAGGTAATGAGTAGCAATTCACAGCTCCTTCCTGGCTCCCCAAATCTCCTGCCTGCAGTAGCCACCTCACTCTGCCTAATGATAGGGCTGGCCCTCTGTATCAATGAACATCACACCACTGTCAGTAGCCCCTTCGCCAGTGGTTCCTTTCTTTATCATAATGGCACAGAAGCCCAAACTGGATGGAGAGGTAGGTATGTACGTTTTCCTCTCTCTCTCTCTCTCTTCTGTGCAACAGGGGCAAGAATGCTGAGCATACTCGTCAATGACTTTAATCAGCTATTGCATTATCACTCGGGGTTTTGTCACCAACATATGTGTGCGTATCAGAGATACACTATGTATCCAACACCTGTTAATACTATAATTTCTCTGGAATGTTAGGCAGCTGTTTTGTATGTGCCAGTTCTAGAAGGAGTCTACCAGGGTTGCAGCAACTTTCCCCCTGGTTTCTCAAAGAGCTCATTACCAAATATCCACCATGTCTTCATTTTCATGTCCATGTCTGTGTCCCACATAACATAAATATCATCTGCATGGGGGTGCTGTGATTCCTGAGGTTTTGGTGATGGGGGGGGAGTGTAAATGGAATAATGAGTATAACTTCATGAAGGCAGGATGATGTCTGAGCTTAGAAGAATTCATTACTTTTGAACTGCATCTTCCAGAATTCTTCACAATCTAATAAGGGCAAATCTCTTGAGGTTAGAGCAAATGTCCATTGGTCAGTCCACATGGGCCGTGCTTGAAAAGGAATGTAGGTGTGGGACCAGAACTATTATCTAGAAGTACAGCAGGATAAGAAGGGAATGTACTCAACAAAAGGGAAGCAAGACAGATGATCACATTTCTGTTGCAACCCGGGACTTTTTGTATGGAAGCAGACCATTTTGATCTAGCTCCTGCTTAGTTCAATTAAAATCTTCATTTACCTAAGCACAGATCAGTGAGAACCTTTTGCAAGTGTACCCTCTGAATGGCCCGTGTACAATCCCTATTTCATCAACAGCTATTACTGAAGGATGCCTATTCAAAAAAAAATTGGTATGTTTTAAAAGTCACACTCATAGACCAAATCTAGCTGTGAGAAAATTATTGGCCAAACTGTTTCACCTCAGAGCAGCTCACAGACCTGCTCAGAGTTGGAAAACTGATGGAGTCTCTCTCTCTCCCTCTGTGTGTGTGTGTTGTGCATCCGTGCATGTATGCACACAACACACACCCAGCTCTGTTTCCTTTGTTAGGTGAGTAGAGAAGGGAATTTAGCTGTTCACGCAGAGAGACTGTGAAAGTTGCACAACTTGTGCATCCAAGAGCTAAAGGAAGTCTGGCTCCCAGAGGAGTGGACCCCTCTGGTCTGCAGTCATGAAGTCCCGAAGCAGCACACAGCAGATGATGCCACTTTGCTTTCCAGATTTTGGGCAGGTGAGGCAGAGATCTAATCAATCTTCTCCATATGTCTAGCCAAAGAAAGAAAGAAAAGAAAGAAAGAAAGAAAGAAAGAAAGAAAGAAAGAAAGAAAGAAAGAAAGAAAGAAAGAAGAAAGAAAGAAAGAAAGAAAGAAAGAAAGAAAGAAAGAAAGAAAGAAAGAAAGAAAGAAAGACATTGTAGCACCTTAAAGACTAACTACTGGATTTTAAGGTGAGCTTTCCTGGGCAAGGCCATGCCCTCAGACTGTGTGTCCAAGAGCTAAAGCAAGGCCAGCTCCCTAGATAGTCACGAGTCCCTTCGCTACAGGATTATTCAGGCTCAGTTTGGTTGTATCTTGAAGTCCTTGGTACCCTGACAGATTTTTCAAAATTCAAAAGGATGCACATCTGCAGGGCAGTCCTGTTTCATGTATCGGTGCTGTGGAGAAGCACCATCCCCACAACGTCCAAGAGCAGGAAACCTATAGGCCTGGCTTCGGGGGCAGGAGTTCAAGTGTGTGTATTTTGAACTCAGGGGTTTCTCAAGTAGCCCTGGGGACCCTTTCCTCACCCCAAGCGTAGCCCACTGTTCTGCTCCCTTGCCTTGCCATGAGCCTTCTAAGCTTCACTAGCAAGCAGCTCTTAGGAGATCCACAACAGCAAGATTTCCTAGTCAACTCCGGGTGTGGGGTGGGGTGGGGGGTTTAAAGTTGTTAAGGTTGCAAAGGTTGTTGCACTCTCAACAGTCCTTCCATATCTAAGCCTGAAGGCATATGTTCCAGGAAACTCATTTCAATTAAATGGTGACTAATACTGAAATTTATGTAAAGGTTTCCTTATTGTAAAGATATTTCTGTAAGGCTGGCAATGTTAAATGTAAATGATAAGGTAAAGTATATTGTTGAATAGCAGTGAAATGTTAAAGTATAAGATATAGTAATTGTTATGTTAAATGTATTATATTGTAAGTAAAGTTAAAATGCAAGTGTGCCTGTTTGTTTAGGAGGAAAACCTTGTTTCTCCTCCCAAACAAACATATTTAAGGGGGAGGTCTGTAGCGTTCCCCTTTATTTTGTCAATGGTTTATGTTTTAGTATGTTAATTGTTTATGCATATTCATGTTGCTGAGAGGCGGAGCCAAGAGAGATGTGATAAGAGGCGGAGCCTAAGAGAGGGTCAGTCAGTAAGAGTCAGAGGGAGTTGGAGTGTGTGAGAGAGAAGTAGTTAGAGTGTAGAGTTTGGGGAATTCTGAGGTGTGATTAGAGTTAGGAATGTACTGTCAAATAGAAGGTTGTTGTTAATAATAAATTTACTTAAAGAAGATATTCATGAATCAATATCAATTTCTGTAATCAATAAACAAAAGTTCTATTTAAAAGACTGAGTCTGGGCCTGAATCTTTATCTTCCAGAAGTAATGGTGATTTAGTGATCACCTGGTGGCAGCAGTGTAAAAAAGGGGATTGTTTGCCTTCGTGTGCTCTGAATCTTGACGGTCAAGAAAGGGGGCACGAGAGCAAACGCCACACTGATCTTTTCCAATCCTCTGGCGACTGCTGAGTTTTCCAAATGTGCTGGCATATTGAGTGTAGCACCTTAACAGAGTCATCTTTTAAGATTTTAAATAGTTCCACTGGAATGCCATCACCTCCACTGGACTTGTTGTTAGCCATGCTTTCTAAGGCCCACTTGACTTTGCTCTCCAGGATGTCTGGCTCAAGGTCAGCAACCACACTATGTGGGTTGTCCAGGACATCCAGAACTTTCTGGTATAATTCCAAGGCCAAATTTACCTGTTGTTCCTTTGATCTCTTGACTCCCTATTTTAGCATTCCAGTACCCTATAACGACAAGAACATCTTTCTTTGGTGTCAGTTCTAGACGGTGTTGTAAGTCTTCATAGAATTGGTCAATTTCAGCCTCTTCAGCATTGGTGGTTGGTGCATAAACCTGGAATACTGTGATGTTGAAAGGTCTGCCTTGGATTCGTATTGAAATCATTCTATCATTTTTGAGATTGTATCCCAGTACAGCTTTTGTTGACTATGACAGCTGCTTCATTTTTTCTGTGGGATTCTTGCCCACAATAGTAGATATGATAATCATCTGAATTGAATTCGCCCATTCCCATCCATTTTAGTTCACTGATGCCCAGGATGCCAATGTTTATTCTTGCCATCTCCTGTTTGACCACATCCAGCTTACCAAGGTTCATAGATCTTACATTCTAGGTTCCTATGCAGTATTTTTCTTTGCAGCATCGGGCTTTCCTTTCACTTCCAGGCATGTCTGCAGCTGAGCATCCTTTCAGCTTTAGCCGAACCACTTCATTAGCTCTGGAGCTACTTTTACTTGTCCTCTGCTCTTCCTCAGTAGCATGTTGGATGCCTTCCAACCTGAGGGGCCCATCTTCCAGCGTCATATCTTTTAGCCTTTTGTTTCTGTCCATGAAGTTTTCTTAGCAAAGATACTGGAGTGGCTTGCCAGTTCCTGGTCCAGATGGATCGCATTTCGTCAGAACTCTACACTATGACCTGTCTGTCTTGGGTGTCCTTGCACGGCATAGCCCATAGCTTCTCTGAATTACTCAAGCCCCTTTGCCACAACAAGGCAACAATCCGTGAAGGGGATCATCCCGTACTTGTGTACAAACATGGGGAGAGCGTATGCTTCTGGATGTAATGGGTCATCCTAATACCGCCTGTCCACATACCTCCAGAACTACTTATTCACATCTCTCATACTTGCCCTTTTTTCTTTGCTGTTCCATCTTGGAAATCCTCTCTTTAAATTAATTGTTTTAAATTGAAATTGTAGTTGTAATTTTATGATTTTATATATTTTTATACTGTTCTGTTTTATTTTGTAAGCCGCCCCGAGTAGACATGGTCTAGAGGGGTGGGGTAAAAATCAAATAAATAAATAAATAAAAATACTGATTGCCCTCCCAATTTGTCCTATCTTCTCTGTGCTCTCTCTCTCTCTCTCTCTC